GATCAGAGGGGGATCACTTTATTCGAGGCTGGGACACTCGACTCGCATCATAACAAGATCTTCCGGACCAATCACAAAATAAAAGACCAGATAACGCAATGCAATCTTCTATTTTTTTTTTATTTTAAAGAAAGACTGGAGGGGGGGGAATCTACCCTTCGCGGCAGTATCCACCTCTATATATCAGATCATGGGCGTCGCTCCACTTACACAGCACTCTACATGCATTTGGACGCTTGCTGGGCTGGGTGCCTTGGGACGAGTCCAACATTTTAAATGTATCCGGTCCAGAAGGTATCCAAGTGCATGGAGTGTTCTGTCGTGGAGCGAGGCCCCATCTCACCCACAAAGCTTTCTCATCTGGCTCCTCAGAAATCAGTGCAACAGGGTTACAGGGATCAATGAACTTGCTGCCCCTTTTAACTTTGGAAAAGAAGAAGGGAAACAACAACAACAACAACAACAACAACAACAACAACTAGAACGAGGAGGAGGAGGATAAGGACTGGCAGCAGCAGCAGAAGAAAAGTGTCGCCGCACAGCACACGAAACGAAAAGTGAAACGAACGGATCTTCCGCCAGAAAATGGCCAGGTTCATCGGTTTGCTATAAATCGTAACGAGTGCATTTTGCCACCTTCCTTGGGCAGATGCACTCGTCTTCCTGTGCCGTGTGGCGAGGCCCGAAGAGAGCATTCATGAAAAGACACAATTCACATCCACTATTTAACAGAGGACTGTTTTATTATTTCCGGTACTCGTTCTCCTTCCGTGCCAACTCCTTCGATGGCATGTGTGCAGCGCTTCCTCCAAAGCGCCCAAATAACCGCTCTCCTCCCGAGCTGGAACATGTTTTCGAAATCGCTGTCCGTGGGAGAGGTCCATGCTTCACAAAGCAGCGCCCTGCAATCCCATGGCCAAGTCAATCTGGTGCCCAGGAGGCTCCATATCCTATCCCACCAGCGCCAAGTGAGGACCGCCCCTGGGCACTGTAGGAAGATGTGCTCTACGGTCTCTGGGATCTTACTGGAGGGGAAGGGGTTATGGCGAGATTTGGACCAGTGGAGCTCCAAGCCCTTCTGCTCCAGGAACTTGCGGTCTACTTTGATCACTGGACTTTGTCGATCTTTTTTTTTTTTTTTTTTTTTTTTTTTTTCCCCCATTTGACTTGCCGATTCCCACCTTCTCTTCCCCCACACCCAGAAAAAACTCATGCTTGGTCTTGCTTCTTTTTTTATTTTATATCCCTTTAAACCACCACTACCTTTTCCAAGCTAGTCCCAGTTGGGAAATTGACCTCGTCCGAAAAGTTTGGGGTTCCAGAGTAGGGTCGGTAGGAAAGGGGAAAAAACGAAAAGACTGGGACCGCAGGGACCTTGGGTGAGGGGGGGGCCAAGAAAAAAAAAAAAAGAGAGAGTTAAAAGAACTATACAGGTTGCTTGTGTTTTCCTTCTTTTTTTTTTAACCACCCGATGCATTATCTTGGAAATTTGGATATAGCAGGGATCTATATTCTTCTCTTAATCTTCTTTGTATATAATTTTTCCTCATCTACCTCATCCTCGTGATACTCTCATGTATAGCATATGGGGGGAACACCAACCACACCCCTCCCAGAACTCTACCCAGCCCACCGGCCCATGGGGTAGGTTGGCACCACAGCAGTGGGTGGTGCGAGAGCAAGGCTTGTATCAGCCCCTCGTCACGATGATGCGGGGTGATCACGCATAGCTGACAGGGGAAACCGGCGATGCTAGTGCAGAGCATCTTTGCACCAGTCACACGCACCTCCCCCACATTAGCAGTGTCTAACTCGTTTTTATTTCCCAAGTGGCATTGAGCAGAGACTGCTGATGTTCATAGGGGGAGGGGACCGGAGGGGAGGCACAGCTACTGGCCCATCGAAGAAGCTCAGTCCTGATGCTCCCTGCCCCGGCACTATCGTCTTCCCCCGAACACAACGCACCCTAAGAATGAATGTATACAAACTACATTTCCCGCCAGATATAGCCCAAATGAGGGTGCGTTGTGTTCGGGGGAAGACGGTAGCGGTCCACTCTTTTCCTACAATCGCCCACGACCAGCCATTGACAATGGTGCTAGACACACTCGAATAATAATTGGACGACGAGGTATACACAAACTACACCCAAAAACTATTCTTTGTAGTCTCCTAACAGGGCAAGGACTCAATAAGTCCGCCGCGGCACCGCCATCAATTTTCACACTGTGCCTTTTGCGTGTGCCGCCATCACTTTACATGGCGTCTTTTGGGTGTGCAAGGCAAAAAAGAAAAAAAGATTCTTAAAGATCCTTGAATAGACATCGTTGCGAAATCTCTAAGCACTGTAAGCAGGCGGCGGGGCAGATGTGTATAGAATATCTATAAATCACTAAGATCGGACATTAATTTCAGACCAGCACGATTGCCCCCCGCTTAAACACGCACTACATCTGGAGAAGTCGAATGAGCCCCTCTCCAAAACGTTAGGGGACTCGGGACAGAGCCCGACTGGGGGGAGTGCGGAATTCTCTTTGCTCAAGGCTGGGCCTAGGAGGTATGGAAAGATAGATAGCAGTCAAACACTTCACACATGGCAAAGCACTTTAACACATGCAATTGGTACCCAATCAAACCTGTACTACCAGACTGTCCGCACACCCACTTCCGTCAGCTGTACCATTGAACGTCGCATGAGGCATACCGATTGCATAGTGGGACCCACATTGTATAGTGGGACCCAAATTGTATAGTGGGACCCAACTGTCGTGTCAATGTAACAGAAACAGCAAAACAAAAAATCGGGTACAGTCCCAGACAGCATAGCGTACCGGAGGGCCAAAAGACAGCCTTGGGAACAGAATTGTACCGCCCAGGGGGCCCAAAAAACAGCCTTGGGACCAGAATTGTGCCGCCTAGGGGGGCCAAACAACAGCCTTGGGACCGGACCCAAATTGTACCCCTAACGGCCAAAATGAGTGTGCCAGATCAGGAACAGCTAAAGGCTCCACAGATGTTGTCCACCCTGTCCGAATAATCGAAAAAGTAATTAATAATTAGAGTAAAACCCTAAACCCAAAATATCCAATCAAAGCAGCCGCAGCAGTCTTTAATCAGCACCAAAAGAAGTTCAAAATTAAAAAGAAACGAATCAAAAGGGCACAAGAAAGCATCGACAAGTGCGCGAGAACCACACTGATTGCGACTGCACTACTGTCCTACACACAAATAGGTGTGCACATGAGTCGTAATCCTGCAGCCAATCAAATGTACGAACGTAAACCCTTTCTTTTCTTTTTTTTTTTCTTTTTCTTTTTTTTAACCCTACGGTGACAAAGAGTAGAACTAGGTATGCATACAGACAGTCGGTTGGGATTAAACAAGAATTAGCCTTTTTAATTAAAAAAGGAAAAAAAATCGTCATTACGGCCCTGCACCAAAACAAAAGATAAAAAAAAAGCGGGCGAGGGGGGGAAGGGCAGAGCTCCTTCTGCACATATTCAAGCCACTCAAGGTTTAATGGAAATTAATCTGCATTACGGCGAGATGGACGGACCATGCACACATGTAAATTGCTGTAACCGTGAATGAACAGATCGAGAGTTCAAATACTGATGGACACAATAGTGATAGGGACTATCCCCCTTTAAAAAGAAAAGAAAATTAAAATAATCCTCTTTAAATTTTAAACCACTAGTAACTCCGAGTACCGAGTATTTTCGAACCGACAAAGGTACTAGTGGTTTAAGAAAACGCAATCACTTCTACATGACGACGACATCAAAGTATAAAATGTTTTTTTTATTTAAATTTTAAAGTTGATAAATAAGATATGGTCGAAGGAGATGACTGGCGGTAAGGTGGGCTATGAAGGGGGGTTGGAGACCTGGGAGAGCCCAGGGAAAAAAAAAAAAAAAAAACCCAGAAAACATAAAGGAAATTTCTCAAAAAGAAAATAAAAATGGAAAATTCAAAATTGATTTGAAGTAATGCAACCCGTAAACTGGTGGTGCTGGGCGGGGGGGGGGATTCGACACAGAAATTTAAAAATTGTGAAAAATTACTACTCCTAAATTCCTCCTAATCGATCCCAATCCTCGATCAAGGGCTCAAAATAAACAATCAACCAGCAAATCCTTCTGTTTTCCCACCACCCTTTGTTAATTCTCCTCGTCCCCTTCCGCTCCCCCTCAATGTCCTTACTTCCTCCCCCCCCCCCCCCCCCCCCCCCCCCCCCCCC